TTAGAAAGTACGTCGAGAATAAAATTGGTTAATAAAAGTAGAAAAGCACATGTCAGTCAAACTGGGGGAGCTCAGCAAAAAATGCTGAGAACATACTTCTTAACTACTGGGAGAACGGGCATAATGTCTGCCTTCTTCTCTCTCCTTGCCTTCTCTATGTAAGAATCCTGGCTCTGACACTCCAGCTTGACTGCCATTTTCCACAACATTTGTACTCTTTCCCGTTCACTGTGCATTTGGGGATCCAGCAGAGAAGTTTCCTTTTAAAGCAGGCATTTATTGTGTCTTTATTGTTATGTGATGTTCTTCAGTTCCGGGAATAATTTTGTTAGAATAAAGCAAATTCACTAAATGACTCTACACCCGACTTATTATCTTCCTTCTAGAGTGAAACTCTGCAGATTAGGTTGTTGGGTGCACATACAATTACCATGTCAGAGGGTACTTGAGCCCGTTGGGTAAATATAGTCATCAACACTGTAGAAACATGGAACATTCAAGCAAAATATCATTTTCTGCTAAAGCAGACATGACTACAGCTAGAGGGGAAATAAAAATTCAAGAGAATTTTTAAATAGACTTATCAGTGTTAGCAGATCTGTTGCTTTTAATTTGTAGCCCTGTGAAAATGCTGTGAGCATGTATTCACCTTATTATGGCCAACTGGGGGAAAACTGACATAGCAGTTCACTGGATCCCCCTCAATAGGATGAATAGGTCTATTCCATTGATTTCTTAAATTAAGCCTCACAGTTTATTGTGTTGATTTTTTGCTTTCATCAACACTGCCTAAGGGCATGATTCCAATGAATGCTGAAAAGAGGCTTAATTATTTCTCTCTTTGTTCACATTTATTGTCTCTATCAAACAGCCTTCATATATTCAGTTCTGATTGAGGTATGTTATTTTGTTGATTAGCATAATTTGTGAACTGTCTGAAGTGAAGCAATAGTTGAAGTAAAATAAAGTCATAAATTAATTTCCAATTAAACCAGAATTGATTCAGAGAGGAGATGAAAAATATCCTGGTGACCTTGAAAGGGAATAACATTCAAAAAGTGTCATAGTGAGATGCCTCACATTAAGATGGTAAGGGAATGTGGGTGCTGGGCAGAGGATGATAGGAGTGTGAGCCCACTGTGTACTGAAAAAGAAAACTAACATTAAGCACATACCTTCAGGTTCTGCTGGCTTTCAACAATCATATGTGTCAATGTGTTTAGTTTCCATAATACCTATGGAGAATGTGATCTCCCCATGTAGGACAATGAAACCACAAGAGTACAGTAAAGTTCAATTTATTTCTGAAGCCCTTTGTAGTAGTGAGATGCACACTGTTCACACTGTGAAGAGGAAACAGTTAGGGGTATTGTAGTGATATGTAGTGTTATCACCCATGCCTGCTCTGATTCTGCTCAGCATTCACAGAACAAACCATTCACTTGGTACTCGCAGATTGCTCTCCTTGCCTGACCGTCTTTCTCAAGGCAGCTGATCAACTCTGTAAAACCAGGCACCTCCTCTCCAAACATGCTCTTTTCTGGAGATTTTTAAAATAGAACGTTGGTAAATGTCCATTGTACTATCTGCTTTTTATTCTGATTATTATAGAACTAAAAGGAAAATCCTATGTTTATAGGAAACAGTCTATTTTTAACTTAAGCCTTCACTTTCAGGCCACTAGTAATATGAATTAAAGATACGGCTCCCCACCCTTCATTTTTTTTATACTTTAATAGCATTGAGCCAAAGCCAAAAGTCTATTCTTTTTAAATATCTAATTTATTTTTAATTATATGCATATGTGGGGAAGAGGGTGGGTATGTGGCCATGAATACAGTTGCCAGTAGAAGCCTGAAGAGATCATTAGGTCCTCTGGAACTGAAATAGCAAACAGTTTTAAATTCTCAGGCATGAGCTCTGGGAACAGAACTTAGGTCCCCTGTAAGAGCAATATACACTTATATTTTTGGTTGTGAGCCTAGCCTTTAACGGCTGAGCCATCTCACACCAATTAGCAAGCTAAGCAATAGTGGAGAGACCACCTCGAATGCCCATTCCTGATAATGAACTTGATGTCTATAACCATCTGGGAGCCTTCATCCTGTGACTGATGGAAGCAGAGGCAAACACACAATTAATCACTGAACTGAACCCAAGGAACCCAGTGACAGAGAGAGAGGAGTGATGAGCAAATTGGCAAAGAATGGGCTGGCAAAACCAACAGAGACAGCTGATCTGAACAGGGGAGAGCTCTTGGACCTCAGACTGACAGTGGGGAGGCCAGCATGGGACTGATCTGGACCCCCCAAATGTGAGTGTCAGCGAGAAGGCCTGGGCAACCTATGGGGCCCTGAGCTGTGGATCAGTGTCTATCCCTGATATACAAACAGTCTTCGTGTGCCTATAGCACAAAGAGGGATGCTCTCTCAGCCTGGACTCTTAGGGGAGTGCCTGGACCCTACCCAGAGTAAAATGACAGACTCTGATATCCCCTATTTGGATGGGTTTGTCAATAGGGTGGGAGGGTGTGGGGGAAGGGGAGTGCGGGAGGAGGGGAGGGAGAGGGAACTGGGATTGACATGTAAAACAAGCTATTTAAAATTTAAAAAAAAGAAAAAAAGGAGCAATATACACTCTTAACCACATAACATCTCTCTCCCCAAGAGCATGTTCTTTTTTTATTCTTTTTAAAAATTTTTTATTTAAATTAGAAACATGAATGCTTCACATGTCAATCCCAGCTTACTCTCCCACCCCTCCTCCCTAGTCCCTCCACCAGCCTCCCCAATCCCCCATCCAATCCCCACATCATTCCCCAGGGAGGGTGAGGCCCTCCTTGGGGGAATCTCCAGAGTCTGTCATTTCATCCAGGGCAGGACCTAGCCCCTTCCCCATGTTTCCAGTCCGAGAAAGCATCCTTCTATTTGGAATGGGCTCCCAAAGATCATTCATGATAAACACTGATCTACTACCCAAGGTCCCAGTGAATACTATACTTTCCAGCTGCCATGTGTTGATAAACAAAATGTTCCTAGTTAAAAGAACTATGAATTCTCATTAGGTAATGGTAAGATAAAGAGACAAAAATCACAAAAAAGTACTTTTATGACATCAGCTTAGCATCTATATCATGGCAAGGTGCTACCTCCTTACAGGCCTTCACTTACTGCTCTAGTTAACATTTAGGACACACCTACTGTCACTCACTCCTTTCTTTGTATTGATTTATTTAGTGCTCATACAACCAATATAAAAGTGTGTTCTCTCCCCCTTCTTCCAAAGCATGAAGACACTAAGGAAGGAAAATCAGAGCAGAGGACTTGGTATGTGTCCACAATTCAACTTTCAGACCATTTTAGTAGATAATCAATTTAGTATATCACATCATAGATTCAGTTATAGAGAAGAACTATAGAAGGAAAAAGTTTTAAAAATCTCAAATATACCTGATGGAAGAGACACCCCAAAAGGGGCAGAAAGGGTTCCCCATTCTTCCTCCTTTAAGATATGCAACCAACCTGCCTCCAGTTCTTCCCAACCCCTGGCCAGCAAGAGAATCAAACCAGCAAAGTTAAACAATTTCTTGCTAGAAAGCAAGATTTCTCTCTCACATTTTTTAAACATTTAGGCAGTTCTACCAGTTTTAATTAGCCTTTAATTACCCAGTTCCTATGGGTTTTCTCCCCAGATCTCAAGCTCTGCAAGGATATTTTTGGAGTCTTCAAGCACATGGCAGTGAAACTGGCTTTGAGCCTATGACATTGTAAAGGACAGGAGCACAGAGGGGTTATGCCAATGGATGCCCCATGTTTCTATGTTAACAGATAGTGTTCTCTGGATTCTTCTCCCAAGAGATCAGCTAAAGCACAAGTCAAATTTCCTCTCTTGAGTTCAATATAAACTCTGAAAGGGCAGCACATTTTCTTCTGTCTTGATAAACCCTTCCTTCCATCAGGTACAAACTACCCTTAAACACAAAGAATACTGGTTACAAAAGGAGTAAGACAACTATTGCAAAGTGTTTCTAAAGTGTGTGTGTGTGTGTGTGTTTGTGTGTGTGTGTGTGTGTGTGTGTGTGTGTGTGTGTGTGTGTGGACTTCTCTCTGCACATTGTGAACATGCTGGCACATTTTAAGCAATCACTTGTGCTTTGGTTTCCATTAGACAATTTTGTGTCATACACTATCATCTAAACAGACAAATGCATGTGCAGAATTTTCTTGGGGTATATTTCATGTAAGAGACAACTCTTAAAACACTTTAGTGACCATCAAATCAGATCATTTTGGTGAATCAAGATATTCATCGTTTATAGGGTCTTACAAAGTTCCTGGGAGAAACCAGAACCCTCTAACCTATTATTGTAAAATCTTTTCAGTAATTAGTTGTTAGCTGATGAGGGTAAAATCCAAATTGTCTTTTTACAGATGGTTTAAAGAAAGTATTTCATTGGCTTTTGTTTGCAGAAAGTGAGTATAGGGAAGAGAAAGAAACTAAAAGGCTTCCTGTCAGGGAAGTATTTTCAGCTTTTATTTCAAAGGTTGCAGAGGGGAATATTGAAAGGCATAAAAATTAGCCTAGCTCTCTAGATGTCCAGAATTCTAAGAAAGATATAGTTGGGAAAAGTACTGATGCTTGAATATGTTTCTAACTCATCAAAGATCAACAAATAAAGCCTAACATGGTGATACAGATAATTGGGAGGCTGAGGGAGGAGGATCAGAAGTTCAAAATCTGCCTTGGCAGCATGCTAAGACCCAGTCTCAAAATAAAAGGGAGTTGGGGTAAACACCGTGACTAACATGTGAGAGGCCCTATATTCAATTCCCAGTATTGGGTTAAAGAAAAAAGTCAAGATTCCAAAGCCCAGATCCTAGTCATTCTTGGACGTTATGGGTTTGAAGTCTTTGTTTAGATTTATTTGTTCTATTTTCTATGGATGCTCTTTGCTTCTTCTGGTGTGTTTCTTGCTACAGTTTTCCTTTCCTCTTCTCCAGGTCATGGGTTTGGCTCATCAAAGATGTCCCGTGCACAGACATTTCCCAGCTATTCTCCAGAACAGAGCGAAGAGGCTCAGCCACCATTGTCACGGTCCAGCAGCTATGGATTCAGCTATAGCTCCAGCCTCATTCAATGACACACAGAGGCCACCACTGAACAGCAAACACAGTCTGCCCTGGACCTGCCATGGGGTCATTTCGCCCTGTACCTCCTGGAAGACCAATTGCAGTACAAATTAACATTGGTAGGGACTAGTCCCAACTGGAAGGTTAAAAACTGGAGCTCTGCTTCCTTGATCCAGTGGTTAAGTCCTTTGTTTATTGAATTTCTATGGGGGAAATCTATGTTTTACAAAAAAAGAATCCAATAATATGAATGCTCATAAATAAGAAAAATTATTTGTGTCTGCCAGTAGCAGAAGCCTTGGCACTGGGAACTTTGCCCACTGTAGTTTGTGCCTGGGTGGGGGGGTCACCAACATTTGTCCTTAGGGCTGTGTACTCCTGTTTGGACACAGAGCCTGTCTTTAAACATAATGATGACCCACTGTAAGATCTGTGGCTTTTTCAGTTTTGACAGAAACAGATCAAGTAAGCTCTACACGTGGCATCTTAATTCTCCATGTAAAGAAGCCTAGTGACAATTAAGGGTATGTAAAATTATAATACTCCATTAAGAAGGGCCCTGGAGAGAGAGAGGGAGAGAGAGAGGAGAGAGAGAGAGAGAGAGAGAGAGAGAGAGAGAGAGAGAGAGAGAGAGAGAGAGAGAGAGAGAGAGAGAGATTGCTATATCTATCTATAGATTAGGATATATCACATGTGCTGTGGGTGACAGGATATGCTCACTGAAATTATGTTGAATAACTAATTTTAAAGTACTGCTGTTAGAAAATGAAAAAGGCCCCCTGTTAGAAAATGAAAAGGGCTCCCTACTAGCAGCAGTATCACTGTAGCCCACCCTGATCCTATGAGGATTGTGAGCAAAAACACACAAGAAGGAAGTGTTTCAAAAACAATATTACCAGCCCAACTGCCCTGCATGTCCATTATGCTGTCTGTCTGGTTGGCATTCTTCTGTTTGACTGTTTGTCTCCTTGGCAAACATTCTGAGCTACCTGAGAAATTGGTGTAATCTGCAACTCCAATGAGAGACTCCAAAACATTTGAGAAAGATACAAAGCTACCCTTAAAACGAATCTAGCTATCTTTCAGTTAAAAGAAGGACAAATGATTCAGGAAAGTAGACATTAGTGTTTTAAATTTCACAGATGAAATTTTGCAAAGGTCATCAGGGGCTTGGCATTTGGTATGGAATCAGAACTTGCTTGGCTTGAGTTTTTCTTGTACTGAACTTTATTGGTTGAGATGACAAGACAAAATGTTTCACTTGAAAATTTTTCAAGCTCTAGAATGTGACAAATTTCCAAGTTTGGAGGGAAATGGGAAATTTCACTTGAAGGGGAAAAGTTTGACTAATTCAGATACACATAGATAGGTTTGCCCATAATTTAGGGAGTGAAAATACAAATTATTCTGCCTGACTCACCTGGTGTCATGTGCCTAAACCAAATATCTATCAAGGAATCCAGATCAGATTTCAAGAACAGAAAGCCAAGGTCAAGCAAGAGGAAAGCATGACTTTTTCCTTGATAGCCAAATGTTCTATTGAAGTGAGTCTACTTCCAAGGTACCTTTTTGCTGATTCCCATTAAGATTCCATTCATCCTTATCCATAGCTTTCCAGAAGATTGACAACTCCCTTCCATGAATTACTACTGAGTAAACATGGTTATGCATTCCTCCTTGATTGATGCACACTTACTGCAACTACCTACACTCCCCAAATCACTTGGATAGGTATAAAAACCTCATAAAGACACTAATCAGAAGAGTCAATGTGGCGGTGAAAAATAATTATTGTAAGCCTTCAGGGATAAAAAGAAAATTACCCCAACTCTACACTGTTGATTTTGCTGACACAGCAGTAGAGCAAATGCCTGGGTCCTTCTGAGGAGAGAATACAGCCTTCCCTGGAACCCCGCTTTTCAGAGTTAATGCCTCTGAGTTTCTTTAACACATGGCATCTGCTGTAGAAATGCCATTAGTAAATTTATCAGAGCAGCTCTGAGCTGAGACTGTGCTAGCACGGTTCCTAGTGTAGCCTTTAGAGCATGTCTCTCCCTGGCTCACTGAGTCGAGCTGTTGCTTAGAGACCACGAGTTTCTACAAGGGACTTATGGGGAAAGGCCCTGAGGGGTCTTGATTCACATCTCAGCTTTATCCATGTGCCAGAAGCACAGATAGCAAGTCCAGTGGGATTCTGCTAATTATGAGTCTGCTCTTGTGTCTCTTTGGTGGGAGACAAGTACCCTTATGAAGTAACTTCACTATTTGGATCTGATCATTAACAATGAGTGTCACTGGGAAGGAACTGAAAACCATGCATAAGTTTAGAACAATTTTCTCTCTGAAAATAAAGTCACAAAAAAAGAGTGTGTGAGAGATGTACCTCTTTAGTCTTTAACCCAGTCTCACCACAGTGAGAATAATACTGTAAAAATATTTCATGATACATTTTTAGGAGCTTTATTCTAGCATACTCCTCTGAGTATATTTAAAATTTTAGCTAAGTCAAAACTGCTAACAAAGCAGAAAGAGAATTTATAGTAACCTAATATTCTTAACATGAGGCAGTGCTCTCACTGTAATAAAAGAGACAAACAGATGAACCTATAAAAACCAAAGATGGAAGGATACTTGTGAGAGTCTCCTGGAGCCTCATAAAACCATTCCACCATAATTATTACAAAGGTTGTAGGCACGTATTAGCACACCCAAGCCTGGAGGTTCTTGACTGAAGATGCCTCTATACTTTGCAAACTGTTCTCCCTTCAGAAATTATATTGTACCTTAAATATATATGTGACTTTCTCATTGTGAGGGAGAGACCACTACACACCAAAGACATCTTTTTGGCCCCTTCTGCGTGTGACTCAGTTGGCCTTCCACTCAGATTTACATAGAGCTATAAAGATGCTTACCATATCTATATCAAGTTTGTTAGAGAATGGTGATGTAGGAGGCTCCCATGCATGAGAAAGTCTCTTCAAGAAGCAAACCAAGCCTGAAGGTATACATGGTTTTACATGTTTTATGAGGAGGGTTGGTTTTCTACCCTAGTCTTTTTCTTCTGATAATATGCATACAACCTGCAACACATACCATTAAATATGCAGAAAAGTGTAAATGACCTTGACCCACTCTTTTACTGTTCTGGTGGGGTAGGGGGCTGGCACAAAACCACATCTTTCTGTAAGTGGCTGAACAAAAAAAAAAAAATAGGCTCTCAGATATAATTTACTTAAACCAGTTGGAAATAGTTCTGAATCAAAGCTTTTGGCCACTGCCATAATTTGAACTTAATAAAATAGATAGCTAGAGTGAGCCTTTGCTGATTCAAAATCAAGCCATTGTTTCATATATTAGGGAAGACGCTGTTTGATAGAGCTTGTGAAATGAAGTGAAGCATATTTATTAGAACTAAACCTTTCCTTGTTCTAGTATCTAGACTACTGGTTCCAGTGTGCAGTTCTTCTGATTTCACTGAGAAATTTTGTTTGATAATTATTCATCCTCCTTATAAAATGACCACTCATTCATCTCATTCATCTAACATAGAAACAGTGTGGTAATCAGTACCCTAATATGGTTAGCTGTAGACTTTACAATCCAATTTATTGCATGTGGTATCAATATAGTGGATATTAAAAATACAACCCAAAGATTGATGTCTAACCCTCATTCTTTAGTCGAAATCTCACAAAACTTCGTTTTGAAGAATGCATGAGTAATTTACTTCTTTGATTACTGGAACCACTTACAAAATAACCGTTAATGCTACAGTGAAAACAAGATAAGGAAATTACATTATTATAAAAAATTATAGTCCAGTCTTGACTATTCTAATACATCACTATAAATGGGCAATATATATCCAGTGGTCCTGAGGTTTAGACCCTTAAATTCTTCATGTTTCACAAACTACAAATATAATGTTAATGACTGCTTCAAACATATTAACATGTCTATCAAAATAGTGCAATGACCACCTGCTTTTACAATTATTAATTATATGATCTTTGCACTACCACCTTATCAAAATTGGACTCCAAAAAGTGTCATTTGAGTATGTACTCAATTTTAAAAATAAGTGATATGCAACACAAATTAGTGTCAAGCCTATGTAATTTATAGAGTATTCATAGGTTATGAAATTTATAGAAATTACTCATGGATGAAATAGAATCAAAGGAAAATGATCAGTCAGTAGGATAATTTGAGCAAAATGATAAGGAATCCATTGGCACAACCAGCGTAACGCTTGGACTGTACTTTTCCAAGATTCTGACCTCTTCTGTGTGGTAGACTTTGCCTTCTTCACTGGTATTCATCTACTATGTGCAAGTTAAAAATACACAGTCATATTATGTCTTAACATAAGCATGGAAAACACATTAGCAACATATGTGATGCTTTCAGTTTGGGAAAAAATTAACACAAAAGAAGGTATGTAAGCTGCAGTTTTAGCAATGCAGGAATTGCTTTCTGTAGGCAATCTCTTTGGAATTTTATCATAAAGTGATGTTATCAGTGAGTGAAAAGAAGTATGTCATGAGAAACAGATATCCCCATAATTATGTACTCTGTAAATGGATTAGAAAGATCCATTTTGTGTATGGATCTATCATAAGCCCATACTTTCTTACTTAAGAATGTGTGAACGTTGCAACATTTCTACAATTACTCTCAGAGAAGAAGGCTTAGACAACTTAGCAAGCTTTGTGCAAGAATCTTGGGAAACAGATGCATATTTGAGACAAGCTTAAGCCCTAGCAGCAATTTAATGGCCATACGGAGTTCGTTTTATGCTCCCCTGAAAGAAAACTGAAACCTGTGGGTGCTGTAATTTGTTCAGAGGCAATAAACAGCTGGGGATGCTATGCTCCTGTTTCAGACCTCATGAATGCTCCCTGGCTCCCCCATTTCTCAGCAGATGTGTTGGGAACTAGGGAATAGAATGTGCCCTCAGAACACTTAAGTCCTTGTACCTTTAAATGCTCACCTTTCTATTTTAAGTGTATTTCTTCCTCTTGGACTCATCACCAAGGATACTCAGAAAGCTTGTTTATGAGCAACTCACTCTATTTGTTGCTATAAACTTTTTCATTTATAGGTTGTCATCCACTACTTTATTACCTCAAATAATAAGCAAACTAAAAGTTGAGAAAATTTTCTTTGTTGTTGTTTACTTGTTGCTTGCTTTTGTTGTTGTTGTTTTTCCCCACTAACAACTCCATGGCAACCATGATTATTAGATTGGGGGTCTTTATCCCTCCTGAGGACATTATGATTCCACTGTCAAGGACATTTCTCACAATTGTATTAGATAGCTGATGACATTAGGGCTAAATTCTTTCATGGAAATCTCACAGTTTACACTCTCAGATTAAGAGAATGGAAGTTTTTATATTCAAATGTTGTATCCATTAAGTTTTTCCTTATGAACTTATGTAGGCAATTATTTAAATTATGTGAAGTTTAGATGAATAAGAAAAAGGTTAAAAATCATCTTTTACTTGTATTTTCTGAAACTTTCCCCAAGGTTAATGTAGTATGATCTTGTAAATATTTGTAAAGGATAATTTCACTTGTAATAGAAATAGCCCCTGTAGTAATTTCACATATACAACAAGTTCTAATTTTAATTATTTAATTTTCTCTGCCAGCATCGCTAGTCTGAAGTCCTTCATGCTAGTTATCAGAGCTTTTCCAAACCAATTTTGCTAGTTAATACCAATAACTTAAAAATGTATCCCTTTCAGGACAGTTTTAGACTGAGCACACAGAATCAACCCTCTCTGTAGACAGACTGTGTGTCACTGAAGTAAACTACCGAGCTGATTAGCAGTGGTTGAAACTCAATCACTGATGTCATTCAAGGTATCCACAGTCTCAAAAGAATCTGGTATTTGAATTTTATGAACATAAATGCCAAGGAAAACATGATTTAATTTTAAGATTCTGCAGGATCTCCCTCAGAAGAACAGTCTTGGGAGGTTCATATGTATTGAGGATCACTGGCTATATAACAAAGAACAGACAATGGCAAAGTACAGAACACAGTGATACTAGTACCTTCATGTTAAACATAAATCAGCATAGAGCATGATTATTATGAGTTAGAAATGTGGTCAGTAAAATCCACATCCACAAATCTACTGCATAACTCAAGAAGCAATGCTTGAAATGGATATTGAGAGAGAGGTCTCTTAATGGCTTAATGGGAGGGACAGAACCACACACTGGAGATGACCTTTATGATGTGGTTTGCTTTTTGCCATTTCTTAGACACTTATTTTAGCTGTAAGAGGCAGCACATGAACCACACCAACAAATCTGTCTGCTCCTGAACATGAAGGCCAGCCAATGTCATCTTCACTGAAGATGAAAAGAGACAATGGCAACCATGTTCCTTCCCATGTACCCCAACCAACACATACATACTCATATTCACAGATACACTTTTGGCCTTTAGCTTTTGACCCACTGTATTTTCAGCGAAGCTACCCTGTATCGTTTAAAATATATTTGTTGTGAAATATTTATCCCTGTGACTCTCAAAAATATACTAAATTATACATTACATGCCCACTTCCTATAAATCTTTATTTAATTAATTTATATAATTTTCCGAAGTCTTCTATTGTTACAAAGGGATAGCATTTGTTGTTAATAGCATTAACTAGACATTGATCCATGACTAAGAAATAAAACACCCACTACAAATTTGCTTCAGTTAGAAAACATGACCTACTGCATCTTACTCTTAGGTACAATCTATTCCAAATACTCTAGGGACATCTGGACTTAAATACTAATTGAGGCCCAACTTTGGAAGGAAATGAAAAGTAAAACAAAATAGGAGTTTCTGACTGAGAATAAAATATTATAATAAGGCAATAATAAAATTAAGAAATCCAGTTTTTAAATTAGTGTGTGTGATTTTTTCCTTCAGTAAAAATACATAGTTGAAGAATTTGCTTCTCCTAAATTTATCATTTTATACATATTTCAATCCTTAAGATATTTCAAATTATTGTTATTGAGTTCTTAGAATTCCAAGAAATTCACAAATGGAATTGCTACAAAGATGATAACATAGTTGCACAACTTTAAAGTTTGCATCATTATTTAAAGAGAGTAAAACATCTGAAATACTATTCTTCACCACAACTCTGCATGAATGAAATTTTGAACTAATTCAATGGCTTTTCCCATAAGTTATTTGACTTTCTTAGCACTGTAATAGTGATTTCCTTTCATTTTGTTGTTGGATGAATGTAACTTTGTAAAAACTAACCAGAATTCTGACAATCATATCTTGCTAACCTTTAAAATGTTAACTTCTTTCATCGCTTATGAGCTTGTGATTTTTGAAATAAAGTAAAAGAGAGCCCTTTATTAATTGTAAGGTTACTGAGAATTTATTATTTTCCTAACCTTATATTACAATAGAGTTTGAATTCAATTGGGCTGAGTATGCTTTGAAGAAACATGGAACATTAGTATTAATGAAGTCATTACAACCAACATATTTATTGTGTGTTTTCAAGTGAAAAGACATCCAGAAAGCATAAGTGATGTACACAATGCAATGTAGTTAGATTTTGGAATTTTTTCTGTCTTTCTGCTCACTCATTAAAGGTAATGTAAAATAATTAAAATGAATATTTGACAGCAAGATTGGACATCACAATTGAAATTCACATGATGCTAACTGTCGTGCAGTGATATGATCCATGATTCCTTTCTTAATTTTCTTCTCATGATCAGCAGTTTTTGTCATTTGAATGTAGTTCTAGATACACATTTGCTTAGCCTGCTTCTCAAACTTAGTGGTTAAATATTAACTGAGCCTTTCTGATTAGATTCTTAATGAATATTTTCCCCTTATAAAGAATTCATACCCCTAAAGAAAGTGTAAAGTTTCTCAAACTTGGAGAAACCAAATTGTTGTAGATTTTGATCTCACAGTCAAGTAGTGTTAGAGTTCCCTTGATGGAGAAGTACAGTCACACAAATTTGTAAAAGTCAATAAAAAATGTCTAGGACCTTTTGATGCTACACAGTTTGGAAAAATGATCAAGAATGGAGTGATAATGAAAATATCCATTCTTTCTAAATAGTGAATAAAATACAATTTATTCTGAATACCAATTTTGTGCCATTTTCATAAGAAATCAATGATGTGAATTTGGTGGAGTTTCTTTCCCCATTATCACAATTAAGATCATGGGGACTATTTTTTTGCTAGGGAAAATATGTTTATGAAGAATGCAATGGTTTATATAAGTTTAAACAGACATCAAAGACAATATTTAATATATACATGCCACAGGCCCAGCCCCAAAGCAATTACTCTACTATTTTTGTAACATACAAACAAACCAGCTATGTCTATTTCCAAGTTACTCCAAAATTATGTTAGACAAAATGATCTAATTTTAGTATGCATATGGTGACTTATTAAAATGAATGTTTGAGCAAGAACTGGCTAGCATATCTAACATTCATGAAAATGCCAATTGTCCTATAATTTAGACATTTTAGACTATCCGGCTGTTGATTGATGCTGAGTATGATCTCCAAGTCTATTCAATCACTAAATGCTTACTGAGTTCTTGCTACCTCCAAAATACAAATAAAGGACATGCAATATCTTCTGACCTTTGTTCTTTCCTCCTTTTAATTCCTTTTGGTATATGACAATATTAGGGGTTGGTTCTGAAAGCAAAGTGGTACTTAGATCACAAAATGACTAGAAATAAGGAAAAGCAAGAAGTCATCATCCTGCTCAGATTCCTAAAAATCAGCTTTCTCAAAGCATCTCTAAATGTGTCTCCTTCCTCCCCACCTCTTTCTCTCTGTCCTCCTCTTCCTCCCACTCCTCCTCCCCATTACTCCCTGTCATCTTCTTTCTCCTTCTCCTTCTCCTTCCCTTTCCTTCCTGTCCTTTCTTCCTCCTCCCAGTCCGCCTCTCCCTTTCTCCTCTTTACTCTCCTCTTCCTTCCTCCTCCTACTCTTTTCTCCTCATCCTTCAATCATTTTTCCTCTGGCTCTTCTCTTTCAGGGAACAGACTGCTTTTTTCAGTCACAGAAAATTGTCAGGAAACAGAAGCAAATAATAACACAGAATCATATCTCACTATTGGAATTATCATTCATACATATTTTTAAATCTTCAACTTTACCTTAAATATGCTCATAAATTGTCCACCATTATGATCTATCACTCTCTAGATATGTGTCAATGACAGAGACCAACACTATCAAAATTCCTCTGAATACATGATACATGTAAACTCAAGTTATAACGTAATCAATTGGGAAAACAGTTGTTTAAAACTCCAATCTAAGAAGTCTTAATTGAATCTTCTCAGAACTGGAGTTCATACCACACACTTTTCCAGAACAAAATCACCTAGAAGTCAGGAGTCTTGTCTTATTCACTGAGTGTCCCTGGAGCACTATTGGCTTTACACATTCCTTTTTGGTTCTCGTGTGTGTGTGTGTGTGTGTGTGTGTGTGTGTGTGTGTGTGTGTGTGTGTGTGTGGTGTTGTTTTTGGGAGGCCTACTGCTTATGAGGTCTGAAGCTTTTTTAAACAAATCTAACTACATTTGAGAGACCTAAGTATGGTGTATAGTGTATTAAGGTTGTTACCATTAACCTATTTCACTCACTCTAAGGAAATCACTTCACTTTCATTGAATGTTTTACTATGCTTTCTTTAAGTTTTCTTTCTTAGCCCGTCTACTCTATATCTGACCCACTTCCTCAATAGGGGAAGGGAATGCTATTCAATATTCAAAATCTCATGAACATTAAGGGACTTTTCTGGGAATTGTTAACAGCAGTAGGATTTGTATATTTGTAGAATTTGTGAACTGTATGAATAATATTGAACATGAAAGAAGGTCCATTGCTATTTATTTTTGATATGATCTGACATTAAACTGTATTGGTCATATTTAAAATCTCAGATAAAATTATCAATAAATTGCATGCAACATGAAATGTTCACTCCATTTGTAAACAAAACATAACTCCACAGTTCATGTGACATTGTCTTTTCTAACTCTTCAGAGGAAATATCAAAAGGCCAAGGTATCTAAGAGGTTCCATACACGTGAAATGGCATCCTATTGCTGTATTTATAATGAGTGAAGCAGGAATTGCAAGACTTACAGTATAATTTCTAGTACATCAGAATACTACATACTCTAAAACAGTTTAGATCATTGCTGTTGAATAGTGAGTTAAAGTTCATTTAGTTTGTTGGTATTCCTAGACAATATTTCATTCCTGATGTGTGATTCTTATTTCTTGATTACCAGTGGACAAGAGAATAACACGGAATAAGCAATTACAGAATTTTGACCATTTTTTAGTGTAACCTAATGGAATAATCCATTTGAATGTTGCTTCTCTTATGTAGGTTACATCATAAGAATTATTCAGTGACCTATTTATTAAATTTTTGCAATATCCTTAAATATAGTAATATATAGTGAAAAATCTCTATGGCAAATCTACAGACTTGGTCCATATCTCATTAAAATTACTCATATATAAAAAAGACAGTTCTACTCACAAATAACTCACAAGGGCTACAAAAACCCTCTACCTTCTTCCCATATGCCATGACTTTTCCTGTTTTACCCAAGAAAACTAATTATATACACACACATGTAAAATCCTTGACCATGCTTTTTCTTCCTTGGCTTTTCTCACAATAAAGTCTTCTGTTCTTCATTTACATTTTTGTAACTTTAAAATTGTATCCAACCAAGCAAACCTAATGTTGAAAAACACTTTCTGACATTTTGAATTTTGTTTTATTTTGGCAATTAAAAAAAATGAGCTCAGAGGCGTGGGTAGTCTATGAGACCTCTAACAGTGGAGTCAGTGTTTATCCGTAGTGCACAAATGGACTTTGGGAGCCCATTCCCTATGGAGGGATACTATTACAGCCTAGATACACAGAAGAAGGCCTAGGCCCTCCCCCAAGTGATGTGACAGACTTTGATGGACCCCTGTGGCAGGCCTCACTGTCCTTGGGGAGTGGGTGGGGGGCATGGGAGGATAGGAGAGCAAGGGAATGGGTGGTTGACATGTAAAATAAGATTGTTTCTAAAATAAAAAATTAAACTAAATTGAATTTTAATTTTTTTAAAGTTCTCAAAATTTGGTGACTTAGACTGACCTTAGTGATAAGTCAGAATGACTGGCAGTTTATCTCCTCCAGTATTAGCTAAGTGGGTAGACTTGACATAGGATCTTTGTGCACCTTCACACAAAATATCCCTGTAACCTTTTGCTTCTTTTGGATTTGCAAAGTTTTATGAATCTTAAAGGTGACTTAAGCATAATCAAGCAATCTGAAAAGTATGATTTAAATTGACCTTCAAATTTTCTCTCATATTTAATTGTATAATTATTCATTAAAATAAGTACATATTCAATTTATGTAAATGTAATGTCAGTCACTAAAATGAATTAAAATGCAGCATTGATGAAACAAAGTTAGACAGGACAACTGTCAGTATCAGGTCTTCCTAGTAGAAGCATCAGAAAGTTAGGACAAAGCAGGAAGTGAAGACAGCTTAGTAGTAGAGTACTTACCTAGACTGAAAGTTAGAAAACAGTTCTAGGGAATTATATCAGTTCATAGAGTGCTTGATTATCTTGGAAAAATCCCTTCATCACCACACAAAATCACACCTGGTGTTTATCTGTAATTTAAGCCCTGAGGAAGCAGAGGCAGGAAGATCAGAACTTCAAGGTCATCCCTGACTACATGGTAAGTTCAAATTCAGACTGTTATCCATGATATCATGTCTCAAAAAAAAAATCAAATCAAGTGACAATAATAAAATCCCAAGGAAAGTAAAGAAATTGAGGGAATTTACCACCTGCAGATATAACAGACTTCAAACACAGTCTGATCCCTAGTTAGACTGGAATTGATCTATAACCAGTAACCTGATGACAAAAAAAGATTTGCAGATGTAAAAACTGTATTTTATGGGACCTTCAGAACTTGAAAGGGAGAGAAGAGTTAATTTGAATGTTAGTCATGCATATAAAGTTCCTGAAGTAAAATCTAAGCAGGAAGAAAGTACAAAATGTTAAGAATAGTGGAATAATTTCACCAGGTGTAACACACACATAATCTGCAGCTCTAAACAGGACTAGAAAGAGAATTAAGTAACAGCAGTTTGAAACAGCTGTATCTATGAATTTGCCAAAATTATGAAAAGACAGTAATTGAAAATCACTATGTTCTTAGAACATATAAATACTATAAAGAGAGAGAAGGATGATGGAGGGAGAAAGAGGGAAACAGAGAAAAACAGAGACAGAAAGAAAGTAGAACTAGACAAAGGAGAAAGAAAGAGAAGAAGAAAATAAGAAGGGGTAAAAAGGTAAAAGAAGAAAAGGAAAGGATGAAAAGAAACCTTGACCGTCTCTGGGAGATACACTCAGAAAGAAATAGAATTACATAGAAATTTCCAGCTGAAACTAGAAAACATAATAGGAGAAAGAAGGTATAAAAGAATCAAAGAACAAATATAGCATTAGAAAATAATTATAAACATATAAATTATGGAAGTAAACCACATTCTCTTGAGTGGCTTAAATATACCAATTAGAAAAGGAAGATTGCTCTGCTGTGTTTTTAAAGGTTCAATCACACATTGCTGTAAGAAACTGTCTTTGAACACAGGCTCACACCAACTTCAATGTCAAGAGCCAGTGAAAGGCGTGCAAAGCCAATGTGAGTCAACCCCAAGCAGAAATATTTATGGTAGTTTTGTAAGAGACCAACTTGAACTAGGAGGATTATCAAAGATGAAAGCAATATTTAATATGGAGGGTCTTCTATTTTTCAAGAAATCCAACAATTCTAAAAGTATAACATTTTACAATGGACTATCAGAATGTTTCAGGAAAAACTGATAGAAATCACAAGAAAAAATAGACAAACTCATTATAACAGCTGACTTCAATATCTCTGTCACTAAGGATATGGGAGATTAAAAAGATTACAGATGACTTGTATAGCACTATCAACCAATGCTATCCTATACAAATTTACAAAATGTCACATCTAACAGCCTAATGCACATTCTTCTCAGAGCAAATGATGCACATTCGAAAATTAAAGCATACAAGCAATTATTTTCAATATAGTAGAATTAAATTAGAAATCTGTACTGAAACACAGTAGGAAAAATTCCAAAAGATACATACTAAATATTGAATTTATAAAAGGCCAAATACTTTGCAAATGAAACTTGAAAATATTTTTAGCCAAATGAAACTAATCAGTATTTATGAAATTCAGTGTTATTTATAGTATTTGGATGCCAATTTAGGAAAATGAAAATTACAAAATCAATAACATGACCACAAGAAACTAGGGAAAAAGAGTAAGATCTAATCAACTTAAAGAAACTAGAGATCACAGAATAGTGAAATTGAAAACAGAAAATAATAAAAAAAAACGCTGTGATTCCAACTGGATTCCTGAGGAATCTGAAAATATTCATTAGTGTTACAAAATTAGGGAAAACATATGTGTATATGTGTATGTGTGTGTTTGTATGTGTGTGACCAGTTCTTTGAACAATACAAAGTGCATTTAAATAACTATAAAATAA